TAGAAGGTTTGCCTTGTAGAAGGTTAAAAGGTTTTCCAACATTAATTGGAAGCGACAGGTTGGTTCTCTACAGATGCGCATACATTATATAACAGTAAATCTTCCCCAAAACCTAAGGCACCAAGTCAAGTTATGTTTCACCTTTTATAGCTCTTCTTTTACCCAAAAGTCCAGGCAATCATTGCTAAACCCACATACAACTAATAACTGACCAGGGTTCCAACAATGCAATCAAAATTCAGAGTCTCGTCAAAAAAATTGAATTTATACCTGAATGTCAAAAAACTAGAAGTTCAAAACATACAGAAGTAGACAGCGCTGAGACAGAATTACAACTATAACATGCTGTTACAAGAAATTCTTGTAGGGACACAACCTTTGCAGAAGACCAAATTTCATCTTGATGAAAACAATGCCCCCTATTAGGATTCAAAGAAAAATTCTAAATTAATTATCTACAGCAAGAGACAAGGAAGCTCTCTCATAAACTTATTTTGAGTTGAAGATTCAATAAAAATGTCTTCTATTATATATAAATAGGTAAACTCAATATCTTGATAGAATAAGTGAGGAAAACTAACCCCATCAACTGCCCCCAAGGCCTAGCTTGAGTGGCAAAAGGTGGAGGATATGTGGCTTAGGTCGCAAGTTCAAGTCCCACACCATGCAAAGCGAAGCCTGGTATTTAAGTGGAGAAGGGTAGAGGGGCGGGCCCATTATCCACCGAGTTTAGAAGGTTGTGATTGGTCCAAAGGGTGGGTCACAGACGGATTTCTCAGTTATAAAAAAAAAAAAACTAACCCCATCAATTTATAGTAATCAATTAAGAAAAAAAGTATATCAGTCCATTAATAAAGGATGTTATATTGTCAAGAAACTTACTGTTCGAATTGCAAATGGCCATTGAATAGTTGTCTCTTTAATCATGAAAAACAATTGATTCATATTGTTTAGGTGTGCAAAAGTTGTATAACCTCTTTTTTTCTTTTTTTTTTGGAAATGCAGATTCTTTGGGGAAGTTGGTAGGGGGGCAATTTGAGCTAGAGATTGGACTTTTGGCTATCTGTTTCTTTGTTATAAGGTTAGAGACCTGTTTCAGTTTGCAATTCTATTTTTTTTTTTCGTCTTTGCACCCGTCAATTGTAACTTCATTTGAGAATGGTCTTGGAGAGGTTACATGGAGTTTGTCTAGTTGATTAAGAAATAAAATCTGAAAGTAGTTAGAACCTGCTTATGATAGCTTGGTTTGTTATTTTGGTCTAGGCTCATGGTCCAATGGAGTGTTGTTCTTTTTTACTGTTTTGAAAAGCAGTCTTATTTAAGCTTCTCATCGATCTGTTTCATGTATAGTCTGTGTTTTTAATTCAATAAGTCTATCATAGATAATTGTTATGCTTACTTTTAAATTTTAGCATCTGATTGATGAATTCTTTAGTGCTAATTAGCTAGATAGAGACGCAAATAAGTGTAAACCAATGACAATGATGAATATTGAAATATATTGTGTTGCATAATTATTAGTGCTTGGCTTGGTGGTTGGTAACTTTTAATGTTTGCAAATATTTGCCATATATGTATTCAGCGTTATGCTCAAATAATGAGAAACAATATGTTACTTAAAGGACATAATTAGTCTAATTGCTCCTAGATATGAGATTAGAGCCTGTGACATATCTGGTTTGATAAAATATTACAGTAACAAATTATTTTCCCATATCATTAATGAATCTGGATTCCTGGTTTGATACCATATTGCAGTTAAATTTTATTTATGGCCTGAAGTCCTTTGTGAATCATTTTCCTAAATCGTCCACATTTCTTACTGTCCCTTGGGTAGGTCTACTTTGGTTAATAGCCTATCACATATGCATGCTCAAACTCTCTGCATGGGCATTTGCCTTTAAATTGATCATCCTTTGTTCAATCTGAAGTAAATTTACTCTCTCATACAAACAAACAAGCTCTCATTAATGGTGGATATTAGTGGTGGAAGAACTAACATTGTTTCCTTTCTCTTCTTTGAGATGCACTTCTGGTCATCATCATACCAAAATGCAGAGATTTGTTTGTCTCTTACATCTGGATGGATGCCAAGAAGTTTATGCAGTTGGTCGAGGAGAAAAAGAAGAGAGCTCTTGAGAAGAAAGAAGGCCACTTGAAATGGGAGCAAAAACTTGAAGCTTCAGCTAATTTGAAGTCTGATGCTGAAGCTGGAGAGAAAACCAAGGCAGCTAAGCATAAAAGGAAGTCTGACTCGGGGTCTGATAGTGGGAGTGACACTGACAGTGAATATGAAAAGAAAAAATCCACGAGAAAGTCCCATAAGAAACACAGGAAGCACCATAGCTCAGATTTGGTTGATTTGGATAGGAAGGACAAGAAATCCAAGCGGAAGCCAAAGAGAAGGTCCTCTGATTCCGGTGATGATAGCTGTAGGGAATATGATGGTGATTCAGAAGAAGAGAGAAGAAGAAAGAAGCGGGGCCACAAGAAGCATAGGCATCATGATAGATACTCTGATTATAATTCCTCCGACTCTTCAGATGATGAAGACGTGGGAAGAAAACACCATTCAAAGCATCACAAACATCATCGACGATCACAACCGAATGGATCAGAGTCTTCCAGTGATGATGACCATGTTGCAGCTAGGAAACGAAGCAACACAAAGCATCATAAACGCCGTGGAAGGTTGGACTCAGATGCTTCTGTCTCTTCTAGCGATGGAGAAAAAGTGAACCATAGTAATCACGGGAAACATAAGAAACGTCATCACAAACCCCATAGTCACGACTCAAGGTCTTCGGATCCTGAAGATTTTAGGCATGAGAGAAGTAGATTCTTAGGTAAATCCTCTGATGAGAATGAGGAATTAGATAGAAAAGATAAGCACAGAAAGAATCATCATCGACATGGTCATCACCGTCATCACCATTCCAACCATGCGCATCGCCGCTCAGTTGAAGTGTCGAAGGACAACCATCAACCTCATGACAAAAAGGAAAGAAATGGCGAGCGAGTGGACCATACTTCTGAGGTGCTCAAGGAAAGTGATAACAGTGGTGCTCGTGTGATTCAAAATGCTTAGGATGCTACCTAATTCATGTTAATTTTCCATTTTGTGGAGACGTAAATGTCCATTGCGAATAACAGTTGGACTGTAATATTCATGGGGTCTAAACCCCAAATTTCCTACTGTTGAATCTTTAAACTGATCAGCACATTTGTGCTACTAATGATTCTGCTGTTTATTAACTGAATGACATCTTGTTGCTAAACTGTTCTCTTTATGTTTAACAGCAGGCTGGTCAAGTCACATATTAATGTAAAAGGTGGATTATGAACAGGTAAACTTCTGGTTGGTCAGTTTGCAATCTGAGGTGGTGTCATGTGATGTTGTATAGACAATATAATTGACTTCACCTAGATCTAAAGATGACAACTGATGGCTTTATAGATGATATATCTTAGACCTTTCACTTGATTGAATGACATGTGAAATACCCTTGTGAATTCATTTATTGTATTGAAGTATTTGACTGCCATGCTAAATGATTGTCGTGAAAGAAAAAAAAATTGGTGACAAAAGTTGCTACTATACTTTTAACACCGATTCATATAGGCTCTAGTGAGAACGAGAGCTGCCACAGTTACTAACTTTAAGTGGCAATATATAAGCTTTAGCAGCATCTACAATTGCCAATAATGTTATCTGGGGGACAAACATAAGCTTTAGCGGCGACTATACTTGCCACTTATACCTATTTATATAACGGATAGTATGGTAGGCCACAAATTGGGAGAAGTTGCACCTACATTACATTTTAAAGGATTGCATCTCATCGTTACTATTATTAAAAAATCTAGATGCTTATGATTCAATAGTAGGAGACAAACCTTATGCTAAAGACGAAAAAAAAAAAAAGTATATGCCTTAGGTGAACATATATCAATGTGTGCACTTTTAGCGTCGACTGATGAAGATTTAGCACGAATAGACTTGCATCTAATATTTACCTTTAGTGGCGGCTATTATGAGCTGTGGCGGCGATAATAGTTGCCACTAATAGATATTTTTGGCGACGAACAGACTTGCATCTAATATTTATCTTTAGTGGCGACTATTATGAACTTTAGCAGCGATCTTAGTTGCTGCTAATACACACTTTTAGCGACGAATAGAATTGCATCTAATATTTACTTTTAGTGGCAACTGTTATAAGCTTTAGCGGCGATAATAGTTGCCACTAATAAATACTTTTAGCGACGAATAGGCTTGCATCTAGTATTGACCTTTAGTGGCGACTATTATGAGCTTTAACGGCGACTAGAGTTGCATTTAAATATTCCTTTAGTGGCGACTAGTATGAGCTTTCGCGGCGACACTAGCTGCCACTAATACTAATTTTTAGTGGCATTTATTTTGAGCTTTAGCGGCGACAAAACAATTGTCGATACTCCATCAGTAATGCCTCTCTTTCAATTATCATAAGCAATCTAACAAAACAACAACAATAACGTCTTAATCCCAAATAAGTTAGGGTCGTGAACTATCCTTTTTAATTAACCCTCTTGCGTCGCTTTTGGATTTGTCAGTCAACCTGGCATGTCAACATTGAGATTCCTCATTGAGGTACACTTAGTAATCCTCTCATGAGAAAAAACTATTATAATCCACTCACGTTTCATGTGCCATAACTTTTGAAAGAGTAAATGCTAAAACAAAACTATGAGAAATTAATTAATCTTCTTGATCATTTCAAGTCTGTAAAAAATAAGTACTTTTAGTTTCAATCATATATTTAACTTACTTCGCCCATTATATTTGATTGAAACTGAGAAAGTCCCCAAATCCTATAATGGTAACACAAAAAAAATAGCATAAATTAACATCTTGAGCTTTCAAATGTTATGCACCTCCCTACTCAATAAACAAAAACTAGCCAGAACAGTGGTATTATAGTCTTTGCCTTCTTTAGTGCTGTCTATCCAACAATTAATTTGATTGAATGCATATATGAGCCACGTTGGACTTTGTACAGCCTGATGGCTAACATTGTTACATTATGTTGTTTGACCATGCTGAATAAATACCTTGAAGCCAGCAGGTGAAATCGAATAAATTGATTTTATACTAGACACTAATACAACACGATGAACCAAAATTGGAATTGTTTAGAAGTTCTTCAGAATCTTCTCGGTTGAGACTCCATCTGCTACAAGAAGTGAAGTCACCTCCTGCAAGAAGAATCAGGGGATAGAAATTGTAAATCAGGGCCGAAGATCCAAACATATTGATGCTTATGTTAAACTGAAAGCTTCTGCACTCATGTCTAGTAATAAATAGTACATGGCACTCATAAACCAAGAATATTGAACCCCTTCAACAACAGGCAGGTTCTTCACAATTATACTGATTGGCAAGAAAAGTTACAGAAAATACTCCTTCCTAAATAATAAAGCAGTTCACAATAAGTAGGTAACATGTTACAACAATAATTGGCTTATGGATTCTCACGCTCTGTTTTTACCAGTTTGGATATCCATTAAACAGTGAAAGTTGCAGAAATTCTACATCAAAATAAGTGTTGTTTTAATATTTCAGTCACAAACTAAATCAACTCGCAGTTAGAGGAACAAGTCACTAAGTTTTAACCGAAAATGTTCGATGAAAATAAGCTGCCTGCAGAATTGCATTCCTCTTTTTTAGGTTACCTAAAATTCTTTGCACTTAAGGCGGATGCTGGAGCTGCTGGCTTATATGCAGATAATGACTTGCTTGTGTTTTTCCAAATATGCGGCAGGAAACTAGGGAAGTTTGTTATTCTTCTTCTTTTCAAGCAGAATTATATTGTGAATGAATTAAATCAATGTATCCAAGTGATATTCTTATTCCTACTTTCAGTTGGAGGAACGAGTCGCATTTATCTACCCGGTCGTGCCAATCCAAAACTATATATACACTTACCAAAAATGCACTTGCTAAAGCAAGTTACGAAGTAGACCTTTCTTAATGAAAGTTAAAATCCCATGGGCCTAATCCCATACAAACACCAAGACTTCCAAACTAAGCACCTTAATCAATGGACAAACGGAATCTAACCACTATGTTCTACACTCCTATTTTATAGAAATACATCCAAGCAAGTCTCTTGTCAAATTTTATCATCCTAAAACATATGTTGTTCAGACTCTTCAAAAATATCAACAGGTGCATGTTGGATCCCCAAAAGTAGTCTATTCTTGGAAAATCCGATACAGGTGCAACATCGAAAGAGAAGAGTCTGCGCAACTTAGCTCATAACTCATAATTTTCTATAGCAGAACTCAATTCATATTAGAGCTCTTATTCAATCAAAATTAATGTTTTCTTTTCAAGTTCTTCTTCGTAAGTTATTGACTACTACTATTATTTTCATGACAAGGGAATCCGCACGTTACCTTTCAAGTGCACACCGGGTGAACTCCAGTCTAGCATAATAGCTAGCAAATCACACAAGAGATGTACCGCACTAGGCAAGCCCCATGCGATGAGCTCGACCGAGAAAGCATGCAAGAGGTTTTGAACTTAAAACCCCCTACTCAACCAACTCAGTCGCCCTTAAGGGTGGTTACTTGTTTCATTAATAGTCCGAATATGAGGTAAAACACAATGAGAATCACAACAAATGAAGAACACTAAATTAATGAAGAAAAGCAGCAACTTTTACAGAAACTACCAAAAAGCATCTCATGGATTGTGTAAACCCACAAAGTGTTTATGGAAGTTAACAGTTTAATGAAGGATAGATCATTGTGCATTGTTTTCATTACTTTCCTTACAAGAGACAGCATTGGTAGTACACCATATAGGATTTACAACCAGCCAACTTTTTAAGTCCAGAAAGCATGTTATTTGGCAAAGTCATCGTTAAGTATTAAGTACTTCTACCACACCAAATTGTCACATTAACTGATGAGAATCACTTCTTCTGTTTGCCTTCTTAATCATCTTTTAATAATATATTCTACATCAAAATTTTCCCATCCATTGGATGTCTATAAGATTAATATCTTTGGAGTTGCGAATCCCTAGGTCAGGGTTACTGTTGGGCAGAGTTATTTTAGCAGTAGTGATCTAATTAATGCACCATAATGTCAAAATTATCAGCTTTCCTAATGCTCATCTGCTGTTTAACTGACTTAAAGCAAACATTAATTTTTGCTCTACAATCCATGGGATCGAATCTCAGCTCTTGATGTTCTAGATTACATATAGAAAGCCTTTATATCTTCCTATTGTAATCACTTTAGGTCTGGGTCACCATACAGCATGTCCAGGCATCTTATATTTATAATACTGTTCTACCATTCTCACACAAAATCTCGGCTCTCTTGATTCATAGATGAATAGTAAATGGTGAGGGGTCAAGTAGCAGTGAAACAAAAACAAAGTGCAAAATAAGAGAGACCATTAGCATCTCCAAAATGCAGAAAGAGCAAGGAAAGACACAAGATAGGAACAGCAAATCTTCTGAAGTAAACAAACTACAAACCTCAGCCATTTGCTTTTGACCACAGAGGACTGCTCCGGTAGATTGAGGATTAAAAATGTTTTTAGCTCGGGCAAATGCTGCCTGCAAAAGCAGATGGTAAAACAACCATTATTGTTGAGTAACAAAGAAAACCAAAATACGATGATAAGAGGATACCAATGTAAACATAATCATTACCTGAACATAGCCATCTTCACCTGTCCAAGCATCATCAGGCTGAGACAACACTGGCACAACCTTGACCCCAGAGGATGCCCAGTTTTCAAACCTATCCTGTAAAAGTTGAAGGGCAGAGAAATCAGACAACAGGTACAAAGTTTATCTTGTATTTCTGCCACAATGAAGAAAGAATTTGTTTACATGTTGCAAGCAAACAACAAACCTGATATGCCATTCTCTTCAAATTCCGTGCACCATAATATAGCCGAACATCAGATCTCTTGTCTGCACCAAACCCTGCCTCAATCAGGGATCTAATTGGGCTGCCAAAAATAGATTTGAGATCAAGGAATGAGCAACAGGCGAAAGAAAAACCGAACTAATTCAAAGAGAATCGTGAAACCTCAACATATTTTCCATCCTTTCACTAACACAAATATTAATATGAAAAGGATGAAACTGCATGATGCAAAGTTCAACCATTCACATTAGGAGAAGTAGGCTTGCAGCTATGTAATAGATCACATCTACAACCCAACGATCCATCTATTGAAAATTGCAGCTTTTAGCATTGGTGAACTTCAACTTGATAGAATCAGCTATGTACTCACAAGATGACAATCAAATGATGATTAGTGATTGGTTGCTAAAGTTCTAACCAGCTTACTGAAGCTAACTAGAAAAGAACTTAGAAAAAACTACTACAAAAGAACACCGAAATGTGATCTAAAGTCAAAGCGGCATCTCACACCTCTACACTAGGGAAAAATGCAAGAGCATCTAACAACTATGATATAAGTTGAGTTTGCAGAACATATTAACGATAGGCTTAGCTAGTAGATTTTTCAAGTAGTTTTCCTACAATCCAAGCTCATTTACAGCTTACTGAATATGCAATTGACTTCAAAAGTTTAACCATATAATCTCATCAACCATAAAAAGAGGTTCTTACAGAGAAAAACTATTCCATAAATCATTCATCTCAATTTAAACTCACTCTGGAATATATTAGCTTATCGCTGAACCAAATCTATCAAACAATCTCAAAAGCTCAACACAAAACGAAAATACTCCTCTATACTCCAGCACAAACGAAACTACAGAATAGAAAATCATTTTGGAAAGTAGTACAGAATCAAGCTTAAATTTTATGTTTCCGATCGAGTCATAGTTTACCTGATTCCAGATCCCGTAGCGAAAATCACGACCGTCTGATACTCTTCCGCAGGAGAGATTTGATCCAAATCAAATCCTTTCCCCATAACCTGACTCAACTCCACAACATCACCTTTCTGCAATCCACATAGTAGCTCCGCCGTAGAGCCAGAGATACTTTTCACAAGGAACTCAAATAAACCTTTTGCTGCAGCAAGCGAAGGCGGCGATGCAATCGCTAAAAACGACGGTTTCTCAACGTCAGGAATCCGAAGCTGAAGATACTGACCTGCCTTGGTGTGTGAGGTAGCTAGGTCAGGGTAATCGGACACGTCGATGGTGACGTGGAAGAGAGATTCAGCGGCAGGTGAAACGGTGACGAGAGGTGCGGTTGTCCAGAGATTAGTGTCTTGACGGACAGCTGCGGCGGCGGAGATGGAGAGACGACGACGGAGGTGGTGGTGGAGTGGTTTGAGGAGGGTCATGGATGAAGAAGGGTGGAGTGATTGGATACGGGAGGGAGCATGGGAACTGAGATGGGAGAGAGATGGATTTGGAAATGGAGAAAGGGAGAGAGAAAGGATTGACATTTTGTTTTCAATTATATGGTGAGAAGGAAGAATCGTAGAAACTAGAAAGCGCCGCCGAGAAGGGTGGAGAGGCAAGAGAATACGGCGGCGTGGGAATCTTATTTTTAAATCAAAATAAATTGGTAGTTTCCACGTGTTACTTCATGATAAGGTAGAGGAAAATGAAATCTACTACATCAAATATATATGTCCAAAAGGGGGAAATATCTCTTTAGTTGCACAAGATGTATAACGAGGAAGTGTGAAAGGTTGGCAATGTTATTTGAGAAGTATAAAAAAAGATCGAAAAAGTATTGAAAAGTAATATAACAAGATATGACTTTTTTTAAGTTATCAAGGGTAAGTATAATCTTAGTAGATAGTTGAGAATTACATCTTCAAGGATCTATCGGGAACTCTATTTCATAAGATGGGTATTGAGAATTACGTCTTCAAGGATCTATCAAGAACTCTATCTCATAAAATAGAAAATAAGATCTACATACAAGAACTCTATCTCATAAGTTAAGGGTAAGATCTACATACCCAAGCATATTACCATCGTAGTAAGCATCATATATATTCTGCCACAGACATGACCCTAACTAAGTACAAGTAGAAGGTAGCTTTAAATTATTGTCAAAACCACTCTAGTCAGCGTTTGGGATACACATACGACCAGAGTTCAAACTCTCAGTCAATTGAGCATGCATAGTCTACCAATAAAAAGTCCTCGACATTATCTCTCAAGAATGATCAGCAGAAGGGCAATTTTGAGACCAGTATTCACTATTCGACATGAATATTGATCCATTTACTGGGAATATACCACCATGACGACTAAAAGACTAGAGAAGATAAACATTATTACGACAGGCAAAAAACTGGAAACCAGAAAGTATTCAAGACGAAAGTAATGAAAAGACAACCCCTCATAATTTGGGCAACCAACATTCTCAAGATGAATTCAAAGTAAAATATACAAGTTTGCCGTTTTACCCCCTTTATTATGCGACATAACAGAGAGTCAAGGGTGGGTGTTTGGCAAGTAAGCCTTAGCTCCATGTCTTCTCTATCACAATTCCGGATTGCATATAAAAACAAAAACCAGAAAATCTTGGACCCCTTAGTCCTCCCAGGAAAAAATCCAAGTGTCACAGAAACTCAAATTATTTCTGTAGTTATCGATGAAGATAATGAAAGAAAGTTGCTGGAGTTAATAATAATCTAAGCTGCAGATTCCTTGGCAATCTTCTCTGCCTTGGCAATGACCTCCTCGATTCCACCGACCATATAGAATGATTGTTCTGAAAGGTCATCGTATTTCCCATCCAGGACTCCCTGCAAAAGTCAATTACAAAACGAAATAATCAGCAAATTGGTGCCTGAATATGCACAACATAGCAGGATGTTATCATCTCAGATACACTTCACCAAAAAATAGGGAGGAGGAAAAAATCATATAGCAACATTTAATTCATAAAGCATCACTACAACCTGCTGAGATGGTGGGCTATGCAATACCAGGAATAACGTGTAACAAAAGGTGTAGTAAAACAAAAAGTGTATGGTAACCTAAGCAAGTATAGGATGCTTTTCTAACCAACCACAGTATCTTACAACAAGATTCCAAATTGAGATTCGTTACCTGGAAACTGTTAATGCTCTCCTTCAAGTCAACATATTTTCCAGGAGCACCTGTGAAAACTTCGGCAACATGGAAAGGCTGACTGAGGAATCTCTGGATCTTACGTGCACGGGCAACAGTCATCTTATCATCTTCACTCAGCTCATCCATACCCAAAATGGCAATAATATCTTGAAGATTCTTGTAGTTTTGAAGAACTTTCTGTACCCCACGAGCAGTATTGTAATGATCTTCTCCCAAAATGTGAGGTGAGAGCATACGAGATGTAGAATCAAGTGGATCAACAGCAGGATAAATACCAAGCTCAGAAATCTGGTATCCAAAATACGCGAAGTCAGAAAATTGTAACTGCATTTTACTAGGGACAAAAAATAAAGTTATAGTTCAAGTTAAGAAACAGTATCATACTTGACGGGACAACACAGTTGTGGCATCCAAGTGAGCAAAGGTAGTTGCAGGGGCAGGATCTGTCAAGTCATCAGCAGGCACATAGATAGCCTGGACAGATGTAATAGAACCTTTCTTGGTTGTAGTGATACGCTCTTGAAGACCTCCAAGATCTGTAGCCAAAGTTGGTTGATAACCGACAGCAGATGGGATACGACCAAGCAAAGCAGAGACCTCTGAGTTAGCCTGTATTGATACAAAAGCAACTAGTAAGCAACGGTAGAGTGGTATAAAATAAGAGAACTTTAGCAGTCATAGGCAAGCCAACCTGGGTAAATCTGAAAATGTTGTCAATAAAGAGAAGCACATCCTGCCCCTCAGCATCTCTGAAGTGCTCAGCCACAGTCAATCCTGTAAGGCCAACACGGGCACGAGCACCAGGGGGCTCATTCATTTGACCATATACAAGAGCGCACTTGCTTTCACTCTAATCAATCCAATAAGACAAAATGTCAACAACAGGGGACAACACTGTGGACTAAAGGGGTATAGCAATTAATTCTGACTAAATAGAACACTTACTTGCTTTTCACCAAGCTTAATAACACCACTTTCAATCATTTCCCTGTACAAATCGTTGCCCTCACGAGTGCGTTCACCAACACCAGCAAAGACGGAGAAACCACCTGAAAGAGTTGAGCCTCATTCAGATAAGTTTCACACTGACTTACATGTGAAATAATAAGAAAACCCATAAGCAGCACTAACCATGTGCCTTTGCAACGTTGTTAATCAGTTCCATAATAAGCACGGTCTTTCCCACACCAGCACCACCAAAAAGCCCAATCTTTCCTCCCCTTTGGTAAGGGGCAAGAAGATCAACAACCTGGTTAGAAGTTAAGCAGCCATAATGAAATTGGCATTGTCATAACGTTGAGTAGAAATTACACTTCAGGAACCAATATATGCTCGGAAAGGGAGACACATACGAGAACATTGAATAAAATTGTTTGATTAGCATACCTTGATACCAGTAACAAGAATTTGTTGTTCAGTTGCCTGCTCAACAAAGGCAGGAGCTTCACGATGAATTGGCAAGAAGTGATCGGTTGCTGCAGCGATTTTCAGAGATAGAGATATAACTTTCAGAACTCTTCACACGGAACAAATAAAACAAGGGATAAAGTATTTAGGACTTACTAATGTCGCCTCTCTCATCAATAGGCTCTCCAATGACATTCATAATACGGCCAAGGGTGGACCTACCAACAGGGACCTGCCATCACAATGAAACCATCAGCTCAGCGCAAAAAAAGTAGTAAGTGAATGGCAAATGGATCTTCAACCCATATTCCCACTGAAAGCAGGATAACAACTGAGACGAAACATCAACTACTGCACCTCAACCCAAATTAGCTGGGTCAGCTATACAGCTACTACTCAATTAGTTTTCATTAAGGGTGAAAACAGAAGACAACAAAAAATTTAACACTGAACCCACACGTGACTGTGTTCCCCAGAGGAAGAGGGGGGACAAAACAAAACAATTTTCGAAAACATCAATGTTAGGAGGAAAAATTGAGTTGCAGAGTAGGAGTTTTTTACCATTCAATTGGGAGAAAATAAGTGGAATAATTAAAAAAAATTCACATCTCACAAAACAACATGAATTTCTTCCAGTAATGCAGTGGTAAATTCGGGTATCAATTGAAGCACTCTACAGTATCTCATTTGATTGTGAATAAAGATGAGCAAATCCACAAACCAATAGAGGCACATTTAAAGCACCAAAGGTACCTTGCAGGGAAAAATACAGGTTTTACTAGGAAAACCAATATTTTCCCACACATTAGGATCCAAACTACCACAATCAAGCATATGTACTACCATTCAGGAGCAAAGAACTGTTATTTACTACTTAGATAATCATAAGCAAGCCTACATGCAATTGACCCTGCTATAGTTACAGATTTACAGCTTCAACAACCTGCAATTTATATGAAAATAATGGTGCTATGATTGATTGACCAACCCAAATATCTAGATCAACAAAACATTTCATTAAAGCATAATAAAACCACAGATCTTGTAGAACTATCAAATAATATCATTTCCTAGAAAACATATTAAATAGATCACTCTCAAATTTCTAAACTCCTGAATTCCAACGCTATTGACTACAATATTAAACAAAGAAATGAATGGAAGTTCTAAACCAGTAAAGTAAATATCTTTGAAATATAATAGACTGAAAATAAACAATTTCCGATTACTCACAGTGATAGGAGACCCAGTGTTAAGGACGCGTTGACCACGCACAAGACCTTCAGTACCATCCATAGCAATAGTCCTAACCATATTCTCACCCAAATGCTGAGCAACCTCAAGCACAAGACGGATCTGGTTATCCAGAACCTCAAGAGCAGTAAGGATCGGAGGCAAACCTTCATCGAATCTCACATCCACGACAGCACCAATAACCTGGCACACTTTCCCGACCGCACCAGCGCCAGTGAACTCATCGGTGATCTTACCGGTAGGCTCATTACCAGAGGATTTAGGAGGTGTCGCTGACTTATCAGCCGGAGCAGCAGCTGAGGTAGCGTACTTAACAGCACGATTTAAGAGGAATCCCGCTGGGGAGGCGCGTGAAGTAGTTTTGGGGATGGAATTTGCCAATGGAGATCTGGAAATAGCGCCGCCGCGCTGGGCGGTTGATCGGAGGAGAGAGGCCATAAGCCTCCGTGACGCCATGGCGTTGATAGGGTTTGGTCTATTGAGAGAGAAAGGTGAGGTGTAGAGAGAAGAAGAGAGAATGCTAGGGTTAGTGAAAATGAGTAGAGAGACTTTTTATCTGCAGAGGTGCCGATGGGCGATGGGCGATGGCTGTAGTGTGAGTGAATCTGACCACTTCCACTCTGTTTATTTCTAGTTTGAATTTCGAGAGTCAAAAAAATTAATTTTAATTATTACTCTCGTAAAATATAAAATATTGAAAAAATAACATAACTACATAAGTTTTTGGGATAAGGATCTGAAAAATACCTCAACTTTGGTCGGATTTGTTGTTACGATACTAAACTTTC